CCCCCCCCCCCCCCGCCCCATTCTCGCGCTCCCTTCCTCCCTCAGACAACTCGCCCCCCGCCCTCCGCCCCCTCCACGTAATTCCGAAAGAGCAGAAGAAAGAGAAGGAGAACAAGAAAAGAAGAGCTAACAAGCGAGAGCGGGAGCACAGAAAAAAGGTTGAAGAGGACTGATCGGGAAGAAAGGGAAAACGATGGACAGCTACAAAACGCGGCGGTTGCGGAGATTTTCCAGCGCCATTGGCTGGGCAGCGTGAGTTCTCTGGTCGGGTGTGATTTCAGCACCGGGGGGACTGGACAGCACCTCGGGGGGACTTCTGGGCAACCCGCAACCACACAGCAAGAACTCCGCCAGCTGCCTCAAGAACAGAAGCTGCCGAAAATCCTGCTTTGTATCAGAGAGGCAAGGTCAGTCCGAGCACAGCCATGCACAGGCAGTGCGCCTGTACCACGCCGCAAACCCTCTGCTTGTTTCTCTAACATGCACTTGCTTCCAATTACTAGCATTGTTCCCTTTCTGATTAGTGAGTACCACTAGAAGAGATTCTGTAAAGGTGTAGTTTAACTTATATTTATATATATTTAAGTTCTTTTTGGTTATTTTTAAAGGGTAGAGAGGGACTGGGTTTTGTTGGGGGTTTTTTTCTCTACTTTATTTTTTTATTTATTTTTATTTTTATTTTTGCTTGCCTTGCACTACGTGCATGGATAGTTTGTGGATATAATTATTGACTGGCGTCTGGGCTATTGCAGCACGGGGGGGTTAGGGAGGAAGGAATCCACCCCCGCCCCCCCAAACCCTTTTCATATCCTTCCCTGGGTTCGGACATTGGAGCACTAAATGAACTTGAATTGTGTCTGTGGCGAGCAGGATGGTCGCTGTTACTTTGTGATGAGATCGGGGATGAATTGCTCGCTTTAAAAATGCTGCTTTGGATTCTGTTGCTGGAGACGTCTCTTTGTTTTGCCGCTGGAAACGTTACAGGGGACGTTTGCAAAGAGAAGATCTGTTCCTGCAATGAGATAGAAGGGGACTTACACGTAGACTGTGAAAAAAAGGGCTTTACAAGTCTGCAGCGTTTCACCGCCCCGACTTCCCAGTTTTACCATCTATTTCTGCATGGCAATTCCCTCACTCGACTTTTCCCTAATGAGTTCGCTAACTTTTATAATGCAGTTAGTTTGCACATGGAAAACAATGGCTTGCATGAAATTGTTCCGGGGGCTTTTCTGGGGCTGCAGCTGGTGAAAAGGCTGCACATTAACAACAACAAGATTAAGTCTTTTCGAAAGCAGACTTTTCTGGGGCTGGACGATCTGGAATACCTTCAGGCAGATTTTAATTTATTACGGGATATAGACCCGGGGGCCTTCCAAGACTTGAACAAGCTGGAGGTACTCATTTTAAATGATAATCTCATCAGCACCCTACCTGCCAACGTGTTCCAGTATGTGCCCATCACCCACCTCGACCTCCGGGGAAACAGACTGAAAACGTTGCCCTATGAGGAGGTCTTGGAGCAAATCCCCGGCATTGCCGAGATCTTGCTAGAGGATAACCCTTGGGACTGCACCTGTGATCTGCTCTCCCTGAAAGAATGGCTCGAAAACATTCCCAAGAATGCCCTTATCGGCCGAGTGGTCTGCGAAGCCCCCACCAGACTGCAGGGCAAAGACCTAAATGAGACCACCGAACAAGACTTGTGCCCGTTGAAAAACCGAGTGGATTCTAGTCTCCCGGCGCCCCCTGCCCAAGAAGAAACCTTGGCTCCTGGCCCCCTGCCAACTCCTTTCAAGACAAATGGGCAAGAGGATCGTGTCACCCCAGGGTCTGCTCCAAACGGAGGTACAAAGATACCAGGCAACTGGCAGATCAAAATTAGACCCACGATGGCGATTGGGACCGGTGGCTCCAGAAACAAACCCCCACCCAGCGGCTTGCCCTGCCCTGGGGGCTGCAGCTGCGACCACATCCCAGGGTACGGGTTAAAGATGAACTGCAACAACCGGAACGTGAGCAGCTTGGGTGATTTGAAGCCCAAGCTATCCAACGTGCAGGAGCTTTTTCTGCGAGATAACAAGATCCATAGCATCCGAAAATCGCACTTTGTGGATTATAAGAACCTCATTCTGTTGGATCTGGGCAACAATAATATCGCCACCGTGGAGAACAATACTTTTAAGAACCTCTTGGACCTTAGGTGGCTGTACATGGATAGCAACTACCTGGACACGCTGTCCCGGGAGAAATTCGCCGGGCTGCAGAACCTGGAGTACCTGAACGTGGAGTACAACGCGATCCAGCTTATCCTCCCCGGCACGTTCAATGCCATGCCCAAACTGAGGATCCTCATCCTCAACAACAACTTGCTGAGGTCCCTACCCGTGGACGTGTTTGCTGGGGTCTCGCTCTCTAAACTCAGCCTGCACAACAATTACTTCATGTACCTCCCGGTGGCAGGAGTGCTGGACCAGTTAACCTCCATCATCCAGATAGATCTGCACGGAAACCCCTGGGAGTGCTCCTGCACCATTGTGCCTTTCAAGCAATGGGCAGAACGCCTGGGTTCCGAAGTGCTGATGAGCGACCTCAAGTGTGAGACTCCAGTGAACTTCTTTAGGAAGGATTTCATGCTCCTCTCCAACGACGAGATCTGCCCCCAGCTGTACGCTAGGATCCCGCCCACGTTGACTTCGCACAGTAAAAACAGTACTGGGTTGGCGGAGACCGGGACGCACTCCAACTCCTACCTAGACACCAGCAGGGTGTCCATCTCCGTGTTGGTCCCGGGACTGCTGTTGGTGTTCGTCACCTCCGCCTTCACCGTGGTGGGCATGCTGGTGTTTATCCTGAGGAACCGAAAGCGGTCCAAGAGAAGGGATGCCAACTCCTCGGCGTCCGAAATTAATTCCCTACAGACAGTCTGTGACTCTTCCTACTGGCACAATGGGCCTTACAACGCAGATGGGGCCCACCGAGTGTATGACTGTGGCTCTCACTCGCTCTCAGACTAAGACCCCAACCCGCAAAGGGGAGGGTACAGGGAAGGGAGTGCAGCCTCCCCCGCCGCGGGCGTCCCCGGACTTAGAGGAGAGTTGACCCAAATCCAGAGCCCCTAAGCCGTGATGAGCATAAGTCAATAAATAAAGATGAACTTGAACGGAGAAGGCCTGACCCTTTAGCTCCGTTCTGGAAACAAAGAGCAGACCGTGACGAGCTGGGAGAGTGCAGCCAGCTCTCTCTTTGCTCGGAGCCCCTTTTAAGAGAAATCCCAGCACGGCCCCTGCTGGAAGAATAGACCGTGCCTCATCCTTAGGGGTAGATGCCGCGGTCCTATCCATATATCCATATATCCACATCTATATAGAGAGATAGATATCTATTTTTCCCCTGTGGATTAGCCCTGTGATGGCTCCCTGTTGGCTACGCAGGGATGGGCAGTTGCACGAAGAAGGCATGAATGTATTGTAAATAAATAACTCTGACTTCTGACAAAAAACCCCAAAAAACAAAAAGTGCTGCATGGCTCGCATGGAATCCACGCACTCCAGGGACTCTGCCCGCCCCCGCGACTGGAGACGGCATTCGTCCACAGCACCCACCCTCTTACCTGATAAGTCCCATCGTATCAAACTTTCTATAAACAAAATACAGTATAATCAGAAAGTGCCATTTCGCCATTATTTGTGATCAGTAGGCAGTTCAGAGCGTACGTTTACTGTGGAAAAAAAATATGTAAAGGTTTTTATTTAAAACATTTGCATGGCTAGTCATCAGTCCATTTTATGAGTTAACAATGTATTTTGTTGAGGGAAGTTTTTAGGGGTTGTTTTGGGTTCTTTTACGTTGATGGTGATGTTTTATTTTATTTTTTGAGGGGGAGTATTTTTCTATACATATCCAATAATGCCTTCCATCTGAATGTAAAATAAGTACCCATGATTTCTATTATAGTATCAGTGTAATTATTTAAAAAACAGATTTTGAGGCAGTTAAGCATGACCTATTAATGTCACTCTAGTGCTTAGGCTGCGATCCTATGGTAGCAATTCTGTGCTGATAAAAATCTTACTTATAAAGTAGGAACAAAGAACAGAGGAAGCACGTGAAACTTACTAATTCTATTCGAGGATTTTATAACGGCATATTTTTTCAGTATTAAAGTGAAAATGTTTTCAACTCCGGGTCCTCACATTTTTCCAGCTTCATATTTGCAACTGGTAACTTGGATTTACGGTGGGAGTTGGGGGGAGGGGAACGGGTGGGGGTGGATCCCTTCCTGAGCGGCGCTAAGGCTCTTTCTGTCACCGCCTTACTTAGTTTTTCCCCTTATGTGGCTGCTCACTTCCCCCCGCCCCTACCTCCGCTCAGACTCCCCTATCGGTAAAGTAGGGTTTTCCCCCAACACTCCCCTCTTTCCCCCCCTCCTAATGAGGCGGGAATCCCTTTATTAATACTGGAAATCCCTTGCTGCTGCTTTTGTTGGTGCTGCCCACACTGCAGATATATTAAGGATGTTAGGACAGATTTGATTTAATTGACTCTGCCTAGATCGGTCTCATTAAACAGAGTGGAAATTTCATTGGTCAGCATTCCTCCATGAAAGACATCCCTAATAACTGGCATTTGCGATGCTGCTGGCATTTTTAATTCAACATCTGCTGAAAATGGTAAAACTAATTAGTGTCCACCCACCCTCCCCGCCCCAACAACTGCATATTGAAATTTGTTAAAGCACTCATCTTTATGGAAATCAGTCATTACCCTAAAGAAGTGTTTGTCTCTCACGATCGAATTTCTGGTTGTGGCCCAGTAATTAGCAAGAAAAGCACTGAATTGCTTGAGTTTTATGAACCATTGTAACTCTGGCCTCAATCATATTCCTCTGGGATTTCTAAGGAAGTCTGTTTTATCAGCAGTTCGGCTACAAAACCACACGTATTGATGGGGTCTGCATTCCGACACACATACACCCTTGAGAAGTATGTCAGAAAACTGCAGACCACAGATTAAAAAAAAAAAAAAAAAAAGTACAGGATTATAAATCAGCTAGCGAAAGCCCCCAGAGCAGCAGTAAGTAGATTTGTGATCTAGAACTCATATTCTAAAGGAAATAATTTCCAGA